TTCTTAAAGGAAACCTGGGAAGAAATACAATAAAATGTCATCAGATATTATTTTGGGTGATATTTTTATCAATGAGTTTCATTTTGGCTTTTGCTGTGATCTTTAGTTAAGTGTTTCAAAGGAAAATGCTCATTTAAAAATAATTTTTCATAGCCATTATTTGTTAGAAAGAATTAATCATGAAATCTGCCAGCAACAGATGGAACTGAAATATGTTTTAAATTAAGGTAACCCAGGATCAGAAGAATAAGTACTGTGCTTTATTTTCTCCTTTATCTTGTTAGCTTCTAACATTTATGTATGTGTATTTTTGTGAGAGTGAGTATGGGTATAGGCTCAGAAACAACTAAAAAGGCATCCACAAGAGGGGTAAGATGATATTTAGGGGGTAATTTGGGAAGAATAAAATGACACATGTGAAGTAGGAAAAAAAGTGGAAGTAAGAATACAGAGGGTGGAAGGATGGAACAGAAGAGACCAAAATGAAATATGTATGGAAATGCTTTAAGGTATTTTGTTACTTTGCATGCTAATTTAAAAAAAATGAATGAAAACAATAAAAACATCATTTTCTCAATTAAAAAAGAAAACCAGTATTGGACAGGAGAGATGTCTCAGAGGTTAAGAACACTGGCTGCTTTCCCAGAGGTCCTGAGTTTAATTCCCAGCAACTACACAGTGGCTCACAACCATCTATAATGAGATCTGGTGCCCTCTTCTAGAGTGGAGGCATACATGGAGGCAGGGTGTTTCATACATAATAAATAAATAATTTTTTAAAAAAAGCAGTATCTAAGGCAATGCATAACAAATAGAGGCAAAATGCATTTTTATTTTAAATAACAACTGACCAGAGAGCTCCTAACAAAGCAGAGCTCCTAATAAAGCTTTTTCCAAGGACAAATTCAAAGTCAACTAACAATGAGTTCAACTTTCAAGAAAATGCAGATAGGATAGCTCCACACTTAAGAACACTCAGTGCTCTTGAAGAAGCCCTAGATTTGGTTCACAGAACCCATGTCAAACTCATAACCACCTGGAACTCTTGCCCCACATAATCTGATACCCTCTTTTGGTAGCTGTGGGTACCAGCATGCTCTTGGGGCACATGAATATCCTTAGGCATTCTCCAATATACATAAACTAAAGTGACTAAATATTTTTGGAAGACACAAGAAAATGAAATCTTTCCTCAAAATGAAATCTTTCCACAAAATGAAAAACTAATTTTAATCTCTACAATTTTGCTTAGCCTTCTCAAACATAGATGCTTTCACATAAGACACCACACATCCAAACATTAGCTGTTGGAAATCCAAGTCTACTCCAACTCAGAGAATTCTATGTTCCAAAATTAGGGAAATTTTTCATTTTCTCTCTAACTTGTCTGTGTCTCCCTGAATTTCTAATTTATTTGAAAGGTGTTCTTTATGATATTTGAAAATAATATGAATTGGGGGAGAGATAATGGGAGAGAAGAGATGAAGGGAGTTTGATTATATCCATACTCACAACACTCCACTGAGTTATGTGTCCTGTGAAGGCATTGCACACAGAAGTAAAATAGTTTCTTGAAGAAGGTCATTTGGAAGCACATTTGGTAGCATTATTCAGAGAAGCTGGAGTAGATAAGTAGCAGAACACTGGCAAAGGGGCTGAATCCTGATAGATCTCAGCTTCTCCATCCCAGTTGATCTCCACGAAGAACCCATCTTTTCAATGAAGAAGTAACTGGCAAATGCAAAGCATAAGCTCATCCTCTTCCTTCTAACACTGCAAATAAACCCAGGACTCACTGGGGTTTGCCCTGGCTCTCACTAATATCATTGAATCTGGAACATTCATAAATATTGCTTTTCCTCTGGAGTGATATCTCTCCTCAGGTTCAACTAAACATTCAGATTGTTATTTCAAACCATTCTCCTATCAAGAAGAGACTGACAGTGCACAGATATTGATGTTTCTATCTCAGAAGACAAACTTCAACTCCGTAGGAGCCCAAGTCTCACTCTATGATTCCTCAAACATAGATTTTAGGTACCACTCAAAGAAAACATGCTTCTTGTTAGTTATGAAAAGCATAAGAGTTTGTGACTTCCTTAAGGACTGCTTGCTGTACTATCATTTCATTCCCAAAATCGCATCAAGTTTGAACATCTTCCACAGTGGAGGGCCTCTTGTGTTTTTAGAATAGCTGAGAAATGGAAGAAAACCCTGATATTAAAACAGTCAAGGCTCATGTAATCTCATCCATACAGCAATAGTCATAAAATAGAGGAATTAGAACTGCAGCACTTTTATTCCTCACCTTAATGAAATCACAATGTGAAGATCAGTGAAAAACTAAGGAAGCACCCTTCAGCTTTCCAGTGGCATTTAAAATAACTAAAGCTAATGGTCTTAAGTCCTAGATTTGTATTTTCAGATTCACTTACTTCTAAATTTATTTATAACTCCAATCTCACTACTCACAGAGTGATGAGCACACATATTTGGAATAGTGGAAAACTCTGCAGTTCAGATTCACATTTCTGGGTAGGGTTAAAAAAATGTCATGTTTCCTTCATTCTTAGCTTTAAAATCCTAAAGGAGTATCTGGTCACTTTAATGACACATTTTGTTCTTTTTGTTGTTGTTGTTATTCCCATTTTGATGATTCAGAAAGTGTCTGATACTGTATTGAAAAGCTTTCTTGTTTTCCTGAGTAAAAGAAGGCCATGATATGTCCTATACAAAAATATACATGTTAGATGAGATTTGATCAGACATGATCAGGTCTTGAGTTCAATATTATACTATATTCAAATGATGAATGTTTGAACAAAATTATGCATTGAGCCATCATTGAAAATATTGTGATCAAAGGCAATACTCTAATCCTGCATTTATTTTGGGTCTGATGACTCTGCCTTTGTTAATCCAATGTTCACGACAGTCTTCCATAACATAAGTGCCACAAATACAAAGGACTGATTATGTATTGGCCTTTATTGTTGGGGATATTATTAGACAGACATCATGGATCTAGTAAGTTATATGTACTGTTTCTGACTCTTTATTCTTACTTATGATATGACAAGGCCATCATGAGAAGATCCCTCCCTACAGGAACTGTCCCTAAGTAAGCAGTAAAACTCAGTGGTATGTATACAGATATGAGATACACTTGCCCTGGAAGCAAGTCTATGGCAGAGAATCAGGCTTTGAACTCTGAGCTGGGCTGTTCACAGCTGAGAGAGGAAGAGCCAAAGTAAAGCAGGTATTGTCACCTATTTAGACCACATTTAAATTTCTCAAGATATCATCCAAACATCAAAGTAAATTTTAGTAACAAAAATATAATATTTTCAAAGGGAACTTCTAGTTGAATATACATGTATTTCTAATCACACAGATTTTTTGTTTTTAATAAACGACTTTCCTTTCCTAATACAATTTCTAGTTCTCATTACCTTTTCCAACAAGCAACAGGCCAATCTATGTCTCAGAACATGATTCCTACAGGTCTTTTACAAATGCTCTAAGCTCTGGTTTAACTCTATTTCTTCCAGCACATGAAAGGATTGCTGTTCTAGTTTACCCACAGGCATTTTACTAATTTGGGTCATGGAAGTCTGTTCTCTCAGGGACACAGTGGAGCTTTACATAGACAGACAATACAGAAGGGTGTTTATGTGTAACCCTGAGAATTTTCAAAGCAAAACCCTTTCATGGGTTTTGACAGGTAAATAGTCTGTTTTAATTTTTGATAAAGATGTTCATGGAGGAAAAATACACACGCTGATGTACATAGAAATTTAATAGGTTTCTACCAAATCAAATGCTTCAAATAAGTCACTAAATTATGCTGGGTAAGGAGGCTCATGTTAGGTAAACACTGGATGGCAGAGAGAAAAGAACAACAAACAATACCAGGCCATTATGAGAAGATCCCTCCCTGCAGGCACTGTCCCTAACTGAGCAAGAAGAATAAGGTAATACAAATAGAAAGGTACATATAGGACTTTACAGGTACCAGCTAAGCTTCATATATTAAACGGTAAGACAATAACAATAATCACCTTACATAATGCTGGCAACTAGCAACTAATATTAGTGAATTAATATAACCTAAAAATCAATATGGCAATATGGAAACAATTTGATGCCACTCCTGGAGCTACACAGTGTAAGGAAATATCTATGAACTAACTGTGGAAGCTCAAGTCCTGGTCAGTCACTTGTGAGTTAATGGGTGCTAACCATCAACTTCACTCTATTTCCCACAATTAAAATGAAGACAGCAGAAATTCTTTTTTTGTGTAACTTCCATAATTACAGCACAAGAAACTACCAGAAACAGTGGTTTCTTCAAAGAGCACCCCCCCATAGTTCAAATTGTAAGTGATACAGAATATACTACAGAGTAAGGTACACAGGAAGGTAGAACTTAGAGTGACAGACAGACTGAGAAGAGAGCTAGCAGATGATTGTCTAAGGGTACAAGCAACATCAATCTTGTTAATATAAAGTGTTTCAAGGCAGACAGAATAGCTCAGATATATATTCCCTCTCCCCGATGATGCTAATGTCAACATTCCATCTCTCAGACATTCATCTTCTCATTTTAACTTTGCAGACCACCCTTACTTGTCTTATTCTTTACCTGGATAATTAATAATTTTTCACTGGAGAGGGGCTTTTGGGATCCAGAAAGCAAGGCCAAAAACTGAATTTCTATCTCTTATAATTCTGTAGTTCAACTTGAACTATAATCTGACAGTTTATTTCCCAAGTTTCTGGGTACACTGCTTCCCTCCATCAGTGTTTCTGAATGATCAAATGTCAACTTGCATGGAAACCTTTTATTTGCCAACAACCAGCATACAAGTTAGAAACTGATTTAGATTAGACAGTCTTTTCATATCCCCAAGTCAAGAGTTCTTGATTATAAAAGTGGTAATAAAGATATGTTGCTTTAAGGTAAATTGTATGTTTCTTAACTTATTTGGACAACAATTTTAAATGGTATAACCAATGAAAAATGGCATGCAAAACAATGCACATGCACAGGATATAAGGCTAACAAATTGGTTACCACCTCCACAGACCACTCCCTCCAGGTCTTCACAGCGCCGGTCATCACACTCGCAGGTCTTGCCATATACCCTGCTGTCCCCTGGAGGGTAACAAGTGCATCTGCCACATTCACATTTGCCTACAAGGTATCCAAAGAGAGCAGGGTTAGGAGAGTCAGTCTCAAAAGGGCCTTCAGAGAAACAAGCATGTTTAAAACTCAAATATCTGAAGCATCTAGCAAATGCTTTTTCTACCTTCTCTACAACATGCTGAAGATCAAACACAAATGCTAAGAAACCTGAGAGTGGAAAGGACAGTGACTGGCTCACAAGTTGGCCACATTTGTTAGGCTACTTTTGTTTCAATTAACCCTGAGTCATAATTCCATGCTGAAAGTATTTAATACTTTATTTAGTTTGAATATATTTCAAATTAAAATGATTAAAAATGATTGCAACAAATAATCATGCATAAAATATTCATATATGATCAGTATATATTTCACTTAATTTAATATAATTTGATTATTTAAAATTATTTTAATTGGATGTGGAACTTTACATGAGAAAAAATAATTATGGATATATTTTTGTTTGATAATTTAGTGATTATTTGTGGTCAATTCCCTAGTTCATAAAATTCTTTTAATATGGAACAAACATCAAAACTCATGACCTCCAAAGATGTATTATATATAGCCTAAAATCTCAAAGCACAAACATGTTAGAGAATGAGTTTTGGTTCATGCTTAGGGAAGACCTCAGCTAGTGAGATAACTACCATCACTATTTCTTCAGCTGTACCTAGATGTCAAACACTGATTCCTCTTATTGGCCCATTTTTTATAGTAATACACATTGACTAGTACATTATGTCCACTTGACAGGACAAGAAATTTAGAGGTTAAGTAGTTGTTCATGGTGAACCAACTAGTTAAGATTGGAATCAAAATTCACATCCATTCTCTCTAACATTAAAACTTATACACCTATCTAATAAGTTATACTATATCTTAATATAGCATCATGAGACCCCATAAGAAGAAACTTCCTTTTGTCTGAGAAATCAGACTGCTTAGCCAGAAATTCATATGGGTGACAGTTCTTCAAGACATCTGTTACTCCCAGTCATTAACCCAACCATCATAATTACACACCCACTGACATGATCCTATGATGCTTCAGGGCTGGCCCTGTAATAATGTTGCTGCACTTGTATCTTGTTAAAGAAAGTTGGCATTGGTGATGATGGGGGGAAGAAAAAATAGTATTTAGAGTCATACAGTCTCAGAGCTGAAATTACAGATGATCTAATGCAGTGATTCAATCTTTCTGGCAGGAGTGATGGGGCCAGCATCCCCTTAGAATACTGTGAATAATGAATACTTTTGATCCACTCTGTTTTCTGGCTTCTGAACAACTCCTCTTTCTACTTGAGAATAGCTCCAACTTCAGCACCAGAGAATTGTCTCTTCCTGAATGACAGTCCTTCTTTTAGGCCCTTGGTGGCTAGATTGGTGACATGGAAAACTTGCTAGAGTTCTGATTCTCAAAGATGAAAACAAAGTTTCAGGCTCCTAGGAGGAGCTCAGCATAGCACACAATATAAGCAACTTGTATCCTGGCTGTTACTGCCTTCCTGGGCTACCACAGAGACTGATAATCCAAGTAAATTTTGACCCTGAACACTTTATAAAGTGTCTTTTGTCCCATTAATGAAGCACATAGTCAATGGTGGCTTACACTGAATACACAGATATTTCGAGTGTCCCTTACTTTTTCCTACTCTTGTACTTTCTGCAATCTCCTCTGTAGAATCCCACCAATGTGAGAAGTCAGTGGAAACATGAGCTCTCTATGAAACCATCTTCCCACTCATGCTTGGTTACACGGCAGAATTTCTCCTTGTCTCTCATCTGTTATCAAGTCACTACTAAAGCACTAAGTAGAACCTCATACTAGAAAATCAGTGCCTATATACTATCAAAACAGTGAGATCTTCCAAGTCCAAACTACCAGTGAGTTTTTGATACTTTGGGAATTAGGAAAGGTCTCATCGACTGAAGTGGACAGGCAATGATACATCAATTTATTGTGTTAATTGAAAAAGAAGTTGAGCCTTGTGGTAGTGGTACAGGCCTATAATCCCAGCACCCAAGAGGCAAAGGCAGGCAGATCTCTGTGAGTTTGAAGACAGCCTGATCTACAGAGCGAGTTCCAGGACAGCCAGAGCTGTTACACAGAAAAACCCTGTCTCAGAAAACCAAAAAAGTGAGACAAAAACTGAAAAAAGGAAATTGAATTTAATCTAATTTTTAAAAAGAAATTATATAACCTTGCAGATTGTTCTAAATTTTTGAAGATATGAATGTGGTTTCACAAGCTACTATAAAAGGAGAATCATAGCATACATTTCTAGTTCTAATAAATGCTGTTTTGTGATATACTGTCAATGAAAATCATTATATTCAATTGAAGTTCCATAAATGAAAATCAATAGTTGGTTTTATAAGACAATTCAGAAAGAGAAAAACCTATGTGATATGAAATAAATTCAGCCAATATGATCAGTATTATCCAATAAAACTTATCTGAAGTGTATTCTATACTAATTTGGACTACCTACTCTTATTAAATATAGGTAACATAGACGGTTGTTAACACAAAAAGCCAGTACAATCATACTTTCTATAAAAGACAGATATTGAATGTTGGATTGTCTCCAAGTCCATTCTTGGAAACTTCTTTCTTCTGTATTTTCTCAAATAACATCTCACCCTCCATATTCTAAAACTTTCTTACATGATGAAGATGCTCCAACTCATAATAGACCTAGACCAAGCCCCTGTGAACAAACTGTTGCATTCCTTGACAAAACAATAATTCAATTGGTGCTATAAAATAATCCACTCAAACTAAATGATATTATATATCCAGTTAAGAAGTAGTAGTCAAAATCAGGGATGAGACAGAAATATGCTTGCTATAGATATTTTTATATTTAGTGCAAATGAAGAAAAGTATGACAATATCAAACAGAAAAAGAGACAATGTTATTGTTATCAGATGGTATATTTTATATTAAAAATAAAAATTACAATTGCATTAAAATAATATAACATAAGGTAAAGACACATACTAAATCAGTTAAGTTTTTGCATTCCAACAGTAACCCAATCTAATAAAATGGAAATTGCCTTATATACAAGAATATTAACACAAAATTGTAGGGAGACACCTTAGCCACGCCTCCTAAAGGCCAGCTACAGGTGTGCTTGACCACGCCTGTCCGAGTGTGGTCGAGGGTTGCAGGATGACATGTGGGAAGTTCTTAAGGGGGCAGACACATGGGAGCCGGCCCTTCTCTCTAGCCACACTAGCTTGCAAGCTCTGGGCACGCTTTGGCTTATGCTTGGTTGGTGTTTATCTGAATAAAGAAACCTTAGCCTTAAGGACTATGGATCCATCTCCTCACAAAATGAATGAGCTTAAGTTGTATTACTGCATAGATTCATTTTAAAGGCCCTAAGAGATTTATCACTTTATACAGGACATATTTTGTTACCAAATTGGAAGGAAACATTTTTCATGAATATGCAAATTTAATGTAGTGTCAATTGAAATGTGATAAATTCGTTTAAACATGAAATTATTCTCAAGTAAATAGATATATTATGAAACAAAATAAACATCTGTGTGTCCATGTGTGTATTTTTCTAAAGGGTAAGTATCCTTTGTCCTATCAGACAAAGGTGAATTATATGAAATGGTCAAATGATATATAACCTAATTAAAGGCAATGTCCCCTTACCGTAGTAAATAAATTATTAATAGTGGACAATTAAGAAAAGAAGGAGAAAAAGGAAACAAAATATATTACTTTAATGATAATACTATGATACAAAAATTGGAAAACTTTAAGAATCTAAGAAAACTAAATATCTCATCAGTTCTGCTCAAATTCACACTGGAACACTTTGCCAGTGAAATATGGTATGAAAGAAAAAAAAGCATAAAGAACACATACAAAAAGAACAAAACTAATATTATTGCTTCATGGGATATTAAAGGCAGAAATATAAAACATGAAAAACACTGTAAAATAATTCTGATTATAAACAGTTTATCAGTTACTATACATCAAACATTCATAAAAATACATAAACATATCACATATATATATATATATATATATATATATATATATATATTTTTATGCCCTAAAGAAACAAAATCTTTAAGTAGAATTTTAAAAGCAAAGAGTTAACACACCATTCAATATTATTGACAATTTCCATTAACCCCAACAGAACTATGCTTTCAATTAAATAATAACAAAATCTCATCAGGATTTCTATACATATTATAAACCAAGATATTTTTAGAAATGGGAAGCAGAAACAAAAACAGTCAAAACACCATTGAACAAGAAAGTAAAAGCCTTTTCTAAGACTCTATGGCTTGTTTAAAGGAGGATGGAGTTGAAGGGAAGAGGAGACCAACAGAAGCAGCATAGAGAATACAGAGGCAGAGTCTAGAATGTTGAACACTCTGTTAGCATGAGATGGCACCATGGAGCATAAAGGAAAGACAGTCTTCCACATATGTGGTGTTTGGGTAAATGGCTATAAAAGAAAATATTAACAATTTGATTAGCAGCCTTGTATTTACTTTGAAAATATCGGTAGTGAAAAGGAGAAGCACAGACTGAGAGATGATATCAGCCACACATAAATCTGACTAGCTCATATTCCCTTTACTCAGGGGACTCAAACAACAACAATCACAATCATTAAATATGTGGACAAATGAGCTGACAGGGCACTTCTGCAAGTGGGAAGTTGACATAGACAGTAAATGCATAAAAAGCTCATAGTCTCACTTAAATTAGAATGAAATGAGGTCCTCCTGCAGAGCTGTCAGATTAACAAGAATTTAAAAACAGATCAAAATAAGCATGGGAAATGGCTTTGAAATGAAACTCTAGTTCAGTGAATGCTGCTACAAACAGATAGAATATTGGGTTATTAAGGAGAGTGGATATGAAGATTCTAAAAACCAGCAATTTGATTTTGGTTCTATTAACTAGAGAAAAACATACATCTTTGCACCATGAGATATTCCAGACCACTCTCAGCCATACTCTTCCGTATGGTATCCAAGGAGAATAAAAATGAAATGCCAACTGGAC